GACTGGCCCTTTGCTTGCCCATAACCGGCCGCTCCCAGGGCAGACATGTCCATCCTCGGCAAGAACCACCCCTTCCGCATCCGGATCGTGACCGATGGAAAGCTCGGCGAGCTGGAGCGCCGGGAGGCGCAGCGCGCGGCCCTGATCGGCATCCACGGCTGCGGGCGCCCGCGCTGCCGCGTGGACCAGGCCGTCGATGACATTCGCCAGACCATCGAAATCGTCACCGAGACGAGCTCCCTGCTGGAGAAGGACCCCGGCCTGCGGGAGCTCTTCTCGCCCTGCCGGCAGGCGCAGCGCGAGGAGCTACGCCGGCGGCGCCGCCGTCGCCAGCAGCAGCAGCAGCAGGACCACCACCACCACCACCACCACCACCACCACCATCCCCACAGCCACCAGCAGCATGCCCGCGACTCGGAGCGCGATGGCGACTTCCGCAGCCACAGCGATCAGGGCTCGGACTCCGAGGCGAGCTTCTCCGACCGGACGGGCTCCGATTCGGAGGATGCAAGCCCGGGCCCGAGCCGGCGCGGGCGGCCGCGCCCGCAGCATGTGTGTGGCGAGGCCTGTGTCAATGCCTCCGGCCAGGACATCGAGCTGCGCGTCCCTCTGCGCCGTGCCGCTTACCCAGGCAGCACCGTCGGTGGGGGGGCCGAGCAGGACGGCTACGATGGCGATGACGACCGGTACTGGGAGCGAGGCTTTTTCGAGCACATCGGCCAGCGGCCGGCGGGCGATCCCACGGCCTGCGACCATGACCACGACCACGACCACGACCACGACCACGACCACGACCACGACCAGGACCGGCATGGCCGCCAGTCGCGAGAACGGCGCCTGCAATCCCGCCACCGAGACGAAGACGCCGGCGCCGATGGCCGCCAGCCTGGCCGGGCCCGTGGCACCCGGGCCCGGACTCGGGCCCGCTCGCCGCTCCTGTCCCCGGAGGCGCCCGGCCTCGGGCGCCTCCAGCCCCCCTCCACGCCCTTCGGCCTGGGGACCGATGAGCACCTGCCGGCCGATGAGGAGGAGCTCATCTACCGCCGCCTGGCGGAGGACCAACTGTCACAAGTGTTCTTCACGTGGATCCCCCAGTCGAGTCGGGCGGCTCGGCGCTCGAGCACCGTCGCCCGCCGGGCCAGCGGTACGGCTCGCTCCTTTTTTCTTTTTTTTGCTCCTTGCGCCTCCTTTTCCCTCCTCGCCTGCCGAGCACGCCACCAAGCCCCAGCTCGGCCCATGGTGTGCCCGCCTTGCACCCTCTCGGGCCCGGGGACCGGGGGGCGGTGGGGGGGGGCCTCGCCTGTTCGCGGCCGCGCATGCCGATGGCCAGGCCGCGAGGGGGCCCCCCTGCCGCCTGGCCTCCCTCCCCGCCCCGGCCGCCCCTCCAGCAGCCATGTGGCCGCCTACTGACGAGCTTGTCCCGGGGCCCAGCCGACGAGAGCGACTTCTCCAGCGACGAGGAGGGGGAAATGCCCCAGGCCGAGGATGATGCCCAGCCGGGGCCCGGCGGCATGGATGCCCGCCATGCCGCCGGGCCCCGGCGCCCGGAGGCCCTCTTGCCGTGCCCCTGCCCGGATGCGGACTGCGAGTGTCACATTCTCAGCCAGACGCTGCGCCGGCGGCGGGCCACGCTCGAGCTGTCGGCCGATCGGCGCCCGGCCGCCGGGCCCGGCAGCAAGCTCGGGCCCGGCGACGATTCGGACATCCGCGGCCTGCTGAACCGGCCGGTGGAGGCGGCCCTCTTTTGCCCGGACTGCCGGCTGAGCTGCCTGGTGCCGCACGAGCGCCAGCCCGGGCGCCGGGGGCCGGCCCGGCGCGAAGCCCGCCCCCGGCCCGGCCCGCCCCCGGCCCTGGACCAGAACCACCAGCATGAGGATGATGTGCGCGAGGCCACCGGCCAGGCCCTGGCCCTGGCGCACCTGCAGGACTCCGGGTCCCCGGTGACCGACGAGATGTCGCTCTTCATCGCGGCCGGCGGCGCGGTGCCGGACGCCGATGACTACGACTCGACGCACGGCGGGCACTGGCACGACTTCGGCCGGGTGGCGCGCCGGCATCCGCCCAGCGTCTGCACCGGGTGCCAGCTGTGCCGCGGCAGCAGCGTCGGCGAGGAACTCATCCGCAAGGCGCTGCTGGTGCTGGCCGGGCGCGATGCCAAGGCGCGCGAGCGCCTGCGCCGCCAGCTGGAAGACCACTCGAATGCCGCGGCCGCGGTGCTGGCCCTCGGCGAGGAGGGCCACCCCCATGACCCGGGTGTCAGCGGCTGCGACGACCTGCTCGGCGACGAGAGCGATGACATCACCCCGGACGACAGCGAGGAGGAGACCCTGACCGACAGCGACACCGATCCGGAGGACGACTCCGGCAGCCGGTCGGGCATGGGCGGCCCCGGAGGGGCGTTCGGCCAGGAAGACCCGGCCTGGGTCCGGTGCCAGTGCGGCATCGGGCCCGGCATCAGCCGCGAGGCGGTCCCCCGGGCCCGGGCCCACTCGTCGGTCCTGCACGCGGGTCAGAGCATCCTGCCGCCCGGGCGGCCGCACACCCCGGGCGAGTACATCCGCGCGGGGATGCGCCCGCCGGCCGCCCCGGCCGGCCAGCTGCTCGGGAGCTTCGTGTCCCCGGCCCCGGGCGGCGGCTTGCGCTTCCACACGGCCCCGGCCCCGGGGCAAGGGCCGGCCGCCCAGGGCCCCGGGCCCATGGCCGGGATCTTCTCGCCACCCGGGGGGACCGGCGGCCCGGGCCCCGGGCCCGGCGTCGACATCGGCCACGGGGCCGGGCCCGGGGCCCGGCGCGGCTCGGCGCCCACCGGCACCGCGCCCGGGCCCGGGGCCACCCACCGCCGGCCGCCACACGTCACCCCGGTCACCCAGCAGGCCGGCGAATTTGGCGAGGTGCTGCAAATCGCCGAGCGCATGTGGCGCGGCGACGCCGGCATGCTGAAGCGCGACTGCGTGTCGCCCACCGGGGCCCCCTGGTGCGAGCCGCAGCGCATCTCGCCGTTCCCCGGCTTCGCCGGGCCCACCGGCGCGCCGGATGCCGGGGTCGGCGGGGTCCACGGCCTACCCGGCATCAGCTGCTGGTTCATCCTCACCTTCGCCAATGTCACGGTCTTCGAGACGCCGGCCGGCTTGGTGCTGGTGGATTGCGGGCACTTTTCCTTCGCGCCGGCCATCACTCGGTGCGTTTGGTGCTTGTCGTGGGTGCCGCCGGCCTGCCCCGGTGGCCGAGGGGGGGGGGGGGGCCTCTTGCGCCGTCGCCTCTTTGCCCGGGGCTGTGGCAGCTCGGCTGTCGGGTTTCGCCGGGCCTGCCAGCATCTGGCCGCTTGCCAGGCGCCTCCAGCCACTAACACCCGGGGACACTCATTCCCGGCCGGGGGGCGGCAAACGGATGGCCGGGGCGGGGGAAAAATCATACCCACACACCATGAAGGCGGCTTCGCGAGATCAGCCCGCTGCCCATCCGCGCGGTCATCCTGACGCACGGCCACGCGGACCATTGCACCGCGCTGCCGGAGATCGAGAGCTCCTTCCGGCAGACCGTGTCGCAGACGCTCTTCGCCGCGTCGCCCCAGAAGGTGCGCAACTCGCTGCACCTGGCGCAGGATGGCGGCGTCGGCATGGCGGCCCCGGCCGCGCCTGCCGACCCCGCGGCCGCCGACCCGCACGAGGGGGACCACCTGTGCGCGGCGGCCGCCAGCCTGGTGGCCGACGGGGGGATTGTCGTCGTGTCGCACCGGTCGCTGCCCGGGCGCTTCGATCGGTATGGCCTCCTCCGGGGGCACAACCTCCGGGCCAACAACCGCCAATTCGGCGCCCAGAGCTCCAACTGGCCGCGGAAGTTCCGGTACCCGGATCGCATGTTCCACCGGGCTGCCCGGCTGGAGCTGGCCGGCCTGCGCCTGGAGATCCGCCATCGGCGCGGCGAAACCGACGACGCGTCCTACGTGTGGGCGCCGGATCTTGGCGGTGCGTCTGCGTGTGCTTGCTCTGGGGGGCCAGCAGTGAGCCCGGGGGGGGGGGAGGCCGGAAGGGGGAAGCTGCGCGAGGGCAGCACAACGATCCGGCTCCGGGCTGGCCGCTGACCGAAATCCCATCCACCCGCCGGCCCGGGCGTGCGCAGTGGTCTGCACCGGGGACTTCTTCATCTGGGCCGCCCCCAATGCCGGGAACCCGCAAAAGGCCCAGCGCTATGCGGTCGAGTGGGCGGTGGCCCTGCGTGAGATCGCGGCCCTCGATGCATGGGCCCTGCTACCGGGGCATGGGCCCCCGATGTGCGTGCTCCTTTGTCGGAGCTGAGCTGCCCACTGGTCCGGGGGCGGGGGGGGGACCACAGTCATGGATTGGTCCTAACACGCACCCACACGCACACACGCACACACACGCACACACACGCACACACACGCACACACACACACACACACACACACGGGCGCATGGACGCCGACAGCATCGGGTCCGATCGGGTCCGGCGCGCCCTCACCGACACGGCCCTCTACCTGGAGTCCCTCTGCCGGCAGACCATCCGCGAGATCAATCGCGGCCGCATGCTGGACGATGTGGTGCGCCGGGTCCGGCCGCCGGCGCACCTGGTCGGCCGGCCGTACCTCTTCGCCACCTATGACGACCCGGTGTTCGTGGTGCGCAACCTGTGGCGGCAGTATGCCGGGTGGTGGTGCCGGGACCCGGCGGTGCTCCGGCCGCCGGCCGCCCGGGAAACCGCCCTGGAGGTGGCCTCGGCGGCCGGCGGGGCAGCCCGGCTGGCGGCCCGCGCGGCTCGGCTCGCCGCCGCCGGCCGCCTGTCCCTGGCCGCGCAGCTGATTGAGTGGGCCCGCCGGGCGGCCGACATCGAGGCCCAGGCGGCCGCGGCGGCGGCCGCCGCCGGGACCGGGGCCACCGGGGTCGGGCCGCCGGCCGCCGGGCTGGCCGCCACCGACCCGGAGCTCTGGGAGGCGGCCATGGCCATCAGCCTGGCCGGGGGGTATGGGCTCCCGGCGCCCGGGTACCATGGGCAGGCCCGGCTGGCGGCCGGGGCGATGGCGGCGGCCGCGGCGGCCGCGGCGGCGGCGGCCGCCATGGCCGGCGGCCCGGCCGCCGCGGGGTACCCCTCGCCCGCGGGCTTCCCCGGCGCCGGGAACCCGGCCCTCGGGGCCGCCGCCGCCGGCACCCCGCACGGCATCCATGGCCTGGCCGCGGGGATGCCCTTCGACCCGCTGGCCGACGCCGGGGCCGCCCTGACCGCCGCCCTGGAAGCCTTGAACCTGGCGCCGATGCCGGAGCCGGCGGCCGGCGTGCCGACCGCCGTCGGGCCCCGGCCGCCGCCCGACCGCCCGGCCGCCCCGGCCTCCACCCCGTTGCTGGTGCAGATCCACCGGATCCGGTCGGCCATCTACGGGCGCCTGGCGGCCGCCGAGTCGGCCCGCATGGCCCGCGGGACTTTCAATGCCGCGCGCATGGACAGCGAGCGGGCCCTCGGGAGCTGGAAGTGGCGCCGGGCCGAGGCGGCCGGCGCCGCCCGCCGGGCCATCGCCCGCGCCGGCATCACCTACGAGGCCGCGCGCACCCTGCAGGCGGTGCGCACCTACTCGGCCGTGTGCCGGCGGCGCCTGCGCCAGGCGTCGGCCACCACCGGCCAGGCGGCCCGCGCCGTCGGGACCGCCCTCAAGTCCGTGGTCATGGTGATGATCATCACGGTCGGGGCCCTGGCGGCCGTGGTGGCCGGGACCGCTCGCGCGGCGGCCTTCCTCTGGCCGGCGGTGTCCCGGCGCCGGGCCGGCGGCTCCGCCGGGGCCGGATCCCGCGACCAGCCCGGCGGCCACCATGCCGGCATGGCCACCGCCGGCGGGGGGGGGGGCTCCGGCCCCGGCGGCCCGGGACCGGCTGCCATGCAGGGCCTCGGGGCCGACCCGCGTGCCGGCCACGGCGGCCCGGGCCTCGGGGCCGACGGCTTCGCTGGCGGCCTCCCGGCCGGCGGCAGCCCGGAAAAGAGCAAGCTCAAGGCCCTGCTGATGGCGTACTCGGCCGAGGCCGGCGGCAGCGGCCCCGGGCCCGGAGCCCCGGCCCGCGGGCCCGGTCGCGCCCCCGACCGCCGGACCTACGACCTGTGGGGCAATCCCGTCCCCATGGCCGGCGGGGCCCCGGCGGCCGGCGGCATGGGGACCTCCTCTCGGGCCGGCTCGCGGACGTCCTCCCCGGTGGCGGGCTTCGCCGCCGCCGGCGGCGGCGGGACACGCGCCCGCCGGAAGACCGACCCCTCGACGGGCGGCCCCCCACGCCGGGAGCCCTTTTCCTGGTCGGTGGAGGGGGCCTACGAGCAGGGCCGCTGAGGGGGATGTGCCCGGCCTTGCCCCCCTGCCCGGTGGGTTTGTTTGTCAGCGGCGCAGCCCCGAGGCCCGGCCGGGAGGGGCGGCAATCGATCCGAAAATACATGACCACACATGAAGCAACCGGCAGCCAGCCCGGGTGGGGGCGGGGGGGGGGGGATGCACACGGGGACACGCGTCGCCCCTGGCACCCGCACCCCGCGGCGCGAAGGGCCCCCACCGGCGGAGGACCGAGGTGGCCGGGTGGCTGCCACCGCGCAACGCGAACACTGGGGCCGGGCCGGGGGGGGGCCAGCCGGGGGTGAGGGTGGGGGGGGGGGGAGGGGCAGGCGGCGGGCGGAAAGGCGGTCGTGGCCGAGCGTCTCTGCAAGGAGGTGAGTGCACAGAAAAAAAGGAAAAAAAGGCGGCCCCGCGCGTTGGCGCACGCAGCAGCACGCGCACGGTCATCGTCCTTGTTCCAGGGCGCGGGGGGGGGGGGGAGACACGGTGGTGGTGCGCGCCTCCGGTGCGATGGGGACCGGAGCCCAGCGCGGGCAAAAGGATAGCCCACTGTGGGGCTCGAACCCACGACCCTGGGATTAAGAGTCCCATGCTCTACCAACTGAGCTAAACAGGCTATACATGTGCCCCGTGCCATGTCTTATAAGAGACCCTGGACCGGGCAACGTGTGCCTGGGATTTCCGCCTTTCTGCCAGGCCCACGACGTCCCGCGCGGTGTGGGCCCTGCAAACGGGCGGAGCCGGCTCGCCCCGGGGTGTGGCGCCCCGGCCGCGGTGACGACGCGACAAGCCGAGAGGTGTGTGCGTCCGTGCCCCCCGGGGGGGGGGCGAAAACACGTACAAATGTCCATCTTTGAGACCCATCCACATGGTTGGATGGCCGAGTGGTTAAGGCGCTAGTTTCAGGTACTAGTGGGAAACCTCGTGGGTTCGAGTCCCACTCCAATCACACCTTCTCTTTTGCGCCCGGGCCCGTGATGTGTGTTTATGCGCGCGCGCCGGCGACGGAGGACAGACTGCCGGCCGGCCGGCGGGGGGGGGGGGGGGGGAGGAGGGTCCACGCATATTTTGCACATATCCATGCATGGTGGTCACTTTATTTTGTTGTCTTCCCGCCTCGCGGGGATTGTCCACTCGCGTGTGCCAGGGCGGGCGAGGCGCGCTCAGTTGCATGTTTCGGAGCGAGGCAGACAGGGGGAAAGAGGGGGAGGGCGGGGGAAAAAACAAAGGCCAGGCGGGGGAGACGCACTCGCACTCACACACACACAATCCACAGCCAGATACTCGGGACTGCTGCCGGCCGTCTTGGGTCGCTGCTGCGCTCCTTTTGCCCTTGCACTGCCCTGTCCCGGTCATGTGTGCGCGCTGTCGAGGAATACGTACGGGTGGCGGCGGAGGGCCCGGCGCAGGCCGCATGGCCGGAGCAGCTTCTCGAGCGAGACCTGAGGCCGGCGGTTGGTCAGAAACAGCCGCACGAAGGGGTCCGCCCCCAGGGCCGGATCCAGGCGCTCGGCAGCCGCCAGCTCCCGCAAGGCCTGCCGGTTGTCGCCGCACGCGCTCAAGGCTTGGGCCAGCTTTTTTGGATCCCGGCCAGAGGGGGCCACGCGGTCAGGCACTGGACGGGCGACGAAGAGCGAGAAATCCGGACAGGGCCCCCAGAGCTCCCCCTCGCACCTGGACATGGAGCTGGGCCAGCTGAGCCGAATCCATGGAGCTGGCCGATGCGCGGTTCACCGCACAGCCTAGCAGGATGAGAGCTGGGGGCTGAGTCAGATTCACTGCCACCGAGGGACCGTATGCGCGCGTACGAGAGAAAGAGAGAGAGAGGAGGGAGGGGGAGAGGCAGAGGCAGAGGCAGAGGCAGAGGCAGAGGCAGAGGTAGAGGTAGAAGAGAGAGAGAGAGAGAGAGAGAGCATGGAGATGAACATGGAGATGAACATGGAGATGAACATGGAGATGAACATGGAGATGAACATGGAGACGAACATGCCCAGGCGTACCGTGCGTCTGGTGAGGTGTGCCCAGACGCGTTTGGCGCAGCTCGAGGATCCAGGCGGCGAAGATGCCAGCCAACAGGGGTGGTGTGGCCACCGGGCCGCCCGCTGCGACGCCGGGGCCCACAGCCACCGACATGCAGGAGGGCAGTCCCACCGGCAGGCAAGGGGTCAGCATCCGGCCGAGGGCCGCACCCCCGGGCAGGCAAGGAGGAGGCATGAAGAGGGCAGGAAGGAACACGCACTGCCCTGGATAATGCGCTCGGCCAGTCGCCCGGCGGTGTCAGTGGCCCAGGCGGCACAGCGGCACAGCTCCCCCGGGTCGGCCGGCAGTGTGTTGCCCAAGCACGCAATCCGAAGATGAATGCCCACCAATTCGGTGAGCTGCCTGGCCAGGACCCCCGGCGATACGACGGACACCGGCCAGCGCTGGGCACGCTCGGCGAAGCGCCTGCAGCCACGAGGGCGAAAAAAGCGAGGTAAGAAGCAGGAGGCAGGGGGCGAGGCGGGGGGGGGGGGGGGGGGGGGCCTCTCGGACCGGCGCCCGGGATGGCCGCGACCGCCCCGGGCCGACCCCCACCCCCGGGCCGGGGGCGGTCTGGCGGCGAAGAGCTCCCGAGGAAAAAGTGGGCGTACCGTTCGGCCGCGACGATGCGCGCCTCGGTCCGGCGTCGGGGCGCCGGGCAGGTGCCAGGGTCGGTGAGTTCCCGACGCAGCTGAATGTACAGCAACTCGAAAAGTGTGGCCATCTGCGACAAGACCAGGTGACACTCCATGGAAAAGAAGGCCCACGCCGGCGGCCGCGGCCGAGTGGCTCTCAAACATGCACAGGGTGCGGGCCCCTCGCGGGTGCGGGGCCCCTGCCGCCAAGCCACACGTCGGCCCAGCACCCGCAGAGCATCCTCGCAGACGGCCTCCGCGGCCAGGAGATACTCCTGGGCCGTTCGCGCGATGGCCTGGCCGCCCCGGGGGCCAGAGCCCCGATCCAGATCCACCGGCCCGAGGCCGTGGGCGGCGCGAGCCGCGAGCTGGAGCAGCCGGGCCCGAACGACAGCCGGGCCGCCTCCGCACAGGCACAGCACGCCGGCGGGTGCGGTGTCGGCCAGAGCCTCGCGCAGTCTGGCGAAATACGCCTCGGATTGCTCATCTTGCCCGGGAGAAGCACCAGTCAGCAGGTCAGTCCGGCCAGAAGCCGAGAGCGGGACGCCGGAAGCGCCAATCGTCGCACCAGTAATGTCCTCCAGGGCCCGGAGATGGGCAGCCATTCGCAGGGGCTCGGGCGTGCCGTCGGGCACACGAACCAGCCAGGCCTGACGAGTCAGGCGCCGGTGGAGCTCCCCGGCGGCGAGAACCATGGATGCCTGGGATCGACGGGCCGGCGAACGGGGAAGGGGGCAAACGGCAAAGCAAAAAAAAAGAAAGCGTCTCGCCAACGACACGAGCTGAATGGCGGGGGGGGGGCGGGGAGGAATGATCGACGAGCGGACGCCTCCGCCAACCAGCCAGAGCCCCTGAAAAAAGCACCCCCCTGCCCAACCGGCGGGACAAGAGAAAACAAACAAGGCATGAGAACAGCCCCCGGATGCGGCAACTGGCCGATGTCACTTGCACACCAGCCCGTATATGATATACCCGGGGCCCGCCGCGCCGCCGAGGCCCGAGACTGGGCTCCGACACCGGCCCCGGGCAACGGCGGAAAACAAGAGCAAGGAGGGAGGGGGAGGGTGTGTGTATTGCTGTGCGCACACACGAGCCGCACTGCGGGGGGGCGGGGGGGGGGGCATAGAGCACACATGCGCCACAAAAGCCCAACATGAAAGCCAGGACAAAAAAGGCAGGGAAGAGGCCACCCACCGGGCGCGGGGGGGGGGGGGGGGGCGCGCGCGCCGGCGGGAGGGCACATGGTAGGCGACAAAAGGCGGAGGAGAGGGCGGAAGGAGAGGGGGAGGGAAACAAGGACATGGCACACAGACACACACACACACACACACACACACACACCAGGGAGGTGGACGACGAGGACGAGGGGGGGACGAGAGGCGGAAGCAGGACGCGGCACGTGTCAAACATACACACACACACACACACATACATACATGCGCATGCATATGCACACGCACACACCCATGCGCCGCCACACCGACCCGCCCCCTCGCCGCCGGCTGGCCTCTCAGTTGGCGTCGAAGCCCATGTACTGCTCCGGGAGCTGGTCCTCGCCTGGGGCATCGAAGAGCACGGTCTCGGTGCCCGGGTCATCGGCCTCCAGGGCCGTCGGCGCCAGGGCAAGGGCCGCCGTCTCGGACGGGCTAACCGAGGCCCCGGTGCCAAACTGCCCGGACCCGGCGGCCGAAGAGGGCGGCAACAAGCCACCCGGCGAGCCGGCCGACGGAGGGGGCGGGATGGCCGGGATCGGGGCCCCGGCAGCCGGGTGCCCGGCACCGCCGATGATCAGCCGCGCGCCGCCATTGGAGCGCGGGGTGGCCGCCGCGGCAGCCGCCCCGGCCGACGGGTAGTACAGCGGCAAGCCGCCGCCCTGCTGCTCGTCATGGTGCAAATCCGCGCTGTGCAACCCCAGCGGGTCCATGTCATCCTCCTCATCTTCATCCGAGGCCATCCAGCTGTCCACACGATGGTAGCCATCGCGCGCGCTGCCGGCCACAGCCGCGGCACCGGCCGCGGCCCCGGCCCGGATCGGCGTCATGCCGATCATCTCCCCGCGGCCGGCCGGCACCGGGGCCCCGGGGTTCTTGGGGTCCAGCATGTCCTCGGTGTCGAAGCGCTCGCGGCGATTCTTGCTGTAGACAAACAGCGCAAACGAGGTGACCAAAATGCAGAAGCCGGACACCATCAGCACGGCGGTGGTGTTCCGGCCCTTGGCCGGGGGCGGCGGCTCGGTCGACCCCTCGCCCGGGGGCGGGTCTTCCACCTCCGGCAGGGGGGTCCCCTCCAGTCGGGGAATCGAATCGAAGACCGGCACCGCGGCCTGGGTCACCACCACCGCATGGACCAGGGCATCGCGCCGGCCGCCGGCCGCCGCCTGCGCGGCGGCATACACCTCGGCCAGGGACCGGCTGCCGGCGATGGCCGCATGCGACAGATCACGCGCCAGGCGCCGGACTACCCCGGCACCCTGGGCACCGGGCACATGGATGGCCGAGGTCAGATACCGGACCAGCAGGCGGTAGTGCTGGGTTTCGGCCGGGTGCGCCGCCAGGGGCAGGCGCACAGCGCGCTCATTGACCGCCGTCACATCCAGCTGGTACACCGTCTCGAAGGTGGCGGCCTCCGGCGCGGCCTGGCCGGAGCCGGTCTCCGGCGCCCGGGGCGCCTGCCGCTGCAGGACCACCTGCATGCTGTCCATGCTGTCGGGGATCGACCCGCCGGCCGGCAGGCTGGTATCCACGGCCAGGGCCACCACCACGCTGGCGCCCGGCTGGCCGGGCAGCACATGCACAGGGAAGGACGCCTCGGCAATGCTATCCAGCGGCAGGTGCTCCGGGCGGATGCGCAGCGCCCCGGTGGCCAGGTCATGCTGCCAGATGGCATTGACATCGCACTGGGCCGGGTCGGTGACCGGAGCACAGTCGCCATATGCCGCGCCTGGCACCGCACCGGCCTCCGAGCGCTCATTCAGCAGGCACGACCGCGGCAGGCAGCGAAGCCCGGCCGTGGTGACGAAGTCCGGCCGGGCCGGCTCCTCGGTGCCCTGGGACCCGGATTGGCCGGAAACCGGGCCCCAGGCCATGCGCGACAGGGCGCCCCCAGGCCCGATGACCAGGGTCACCGGGGTGGGAAGCTCCTCGTCCGGCGTGTCGGCGAAGGTGGCCGCGCTGCCACTCGGCGCCGGGGGGGGGTACATGCCCTCCAGGGAGCAGGCATCCAATTGCACCGGCGGGACCGAGGAAATCGACGCATCCACCAGGCAGCCAAAGGTATCCGGCGAGCCGGGGCCCACGACATCCACCAGATCATACGTGCCGAGGGGGGCTGCCCGAGCGAGCTGGGTCTCGGCCACCACCGACACCAGCGGCACCGGCAGGCGCATTTGCCGGCCCTCAATGAATCGGGGGTCCTGTGGCGAGACAATCGCCAGGCAAGGGCCGCTCACCATGTCGGGGACAATGCGCGCACGGCTGTTGCTACAGCCTGGGCACATGGGCCGGGGCATCCGAAGCGCGTGAATGCGAGAAGCCGGACATTTGGGAGCCGGGGCCCGGGGAGGGAGCGAGACCGAGACCCAGACCGAGAGGACATAGGATCAGTGGGAGGAAGCAAACAGAAGCGTGCACGAGGCATCCAGCCGAGAAGAGGGAGACGAAGGAAGAGGAAGGGAGGCACGCACCGCACGGCAGGTCGAGGGTGTGCTGCGGGGGAGTGGGAACATCCTCCGGCTGATCGGGCAGGACCGCCGGGTCGATGCAAGTGGCGGTCGGCTTGTAGCTGCATCGGGGAGGAAGAGCAAGCGGGTGACCACCATATATATGACGGTGTCAGGCGGAGGGCAGGGCGCTTGGGCACATCAAAAGGCGAGGAAGAACGCGGAGGAAGCGGGTCGCGGAGTGGGGGGGCGGGGGCGGGAAGGCGGCGTACGCAATCGTCGTCCGGCGAACACCGGCCTTCGGACCGAGGATGCACTCATCCTCGCTGACGATGACCTGGTCTTCGGCGGTGCAGAGGGCCCGGTGGCAGCCGGTGCCGCCCCAACCGGGCTCGCACTTGTGGCAAACGCCGGTGGTACCGGCGGAGGTGCACTTGCCGTGCTGGCAGTAATCCGAGCACTTGCGAGCTACGTGGGTGGGGGAAAAACGGACGTGCACGAGCACAGGGCATCGGGCGAGAGCAAGGCGAATGGGAAGGGGCCCCGGCGGGGAAATGGCCAAAGGGCGGTCAGGCAAAGAGATGGAGAGAGAGAGGGGGGGGGGAGGGGGGGCGGAGACTGCGGACGAGTGGGGACGAAGGAGACGCACGCTTGTCGCAACGCTTGCCGGACCAGCCCATGGTGCAGACGCAGACCGCCTTGCGGCTGAGAACGGCCGCCTCATCAGAGTGCTCGATGCGGCAGACGCCATTCTGACATCCACGCTTCTTGCAGAGGGCCTCGTCATCGAGGCTGGAGTCGTCGTCGTCGTCGTCATCGTCATCGGAGTCATCGTCGGAGTCGTCGTCGGTCCCGGAGTCGGTGTCGGTATCGGGCTTGGAGCCGGAAGCCCGGAGCTCGGCGGCATGCGCACGCACCCCGGTGGCCACCACCGATGACAGGGAGTGCAGCCGGGCTGCCAGTTGCTCCAGCGACGTGGACGTCGTCTGGGCGCCGAGGTCCTCTGCGGGCCGGACATGGCGAGCATGGGGGATGCGCGGGAAGGC